CGCCTTGCATAGATCCTCGACGCTGTGTCCGCCCGCCTGCTTCGCGTGAAGCCATCTGCATACTCTCTGTTCAATCTTTTCGTTTGGACGCAAGAACTTTTGATACTGCGGGGCGTTCAAAAGAGTATCCAATAATATCAAAGTGGAAGCACCGCCGCTCACCTGTTCAATGCTGCCAAGCGCGGAACTTGCGAGCGCGGCGGGGCAAAAACAGGGGCAAGTGATTTGCCAAACCAGCTTGGATTATCACAGGAGCTCTCGATTTGTCCCGCGTTGGTATTGGTTCTGAGCTTGGCAACATTGAGACCTGGACAACATCGAAATCACGACGACGCACTTTAGGTTCTCCATCTGCATCTTGCTTCCTCGCATCCCGCGCTTCCCGCAACCGATCTGCCAACAGCCTGTGATTGCCAGTTGTATCCAAACCGAATTGAGTTAGCTGTCTCTCCAACTCGGCGCGGCTCAGGCGCGATGTCATTGTAGGTATCCGAATGTTTAGCCTTTGGTAGGGCCGGTAAGGCGTGTGCGAAAATTAACATCATCCTACATATTCTCCTCTTCAGCCTCCTCCTCCTCCTCCTCCTCCTCCTCCTCCCTCCTCCCACTCCTCGATCGCTCTTCCCCCCTCCCGCCTCGTCCTTCGGTTGACTAGGCGTTGATTTGCGCTGTTGGCTCGCAGAAGCTTTCATGGGGACTCCGGTCGCCGTCGTCCTCCTCGTCGTTGTCGCCTTTTGGATGGGCTGTTGGGGGCACGCGAAGCATGGCGAATATGGATATGTAGGGGCCGCGGACCGGTGGCCACGCCGTATATGAAGAAAATATGAAGAAGATGAAAGCACATGGAAGTTGATGAATGAAGATCTGGAGCCGAAAAGGTTACGGACGAGAGAGAGAGAGAGAGAGAGAGCGAGATAGATAGAGGGTATTCTCGGTTTCAACGTCTTTTGTCTAGATCTCCCGTCATCCACAGGATTTTCATGGGCACCTCTAGGCTCTGACTGGCAACCCTTCGGATCAGACATCCAGCCAGTCACAAGATTTTCATGGACATCTCTACGCTCTGACTGGTAACTCTGTGGTCCAACGCAGGTTCTCTGATAATGCAACTTGCAACGAAAGTGACACGAAAATGAATGGAAGCTGCATCGGCGTCGAGAGAGAGAGAATGAGCATGAGGAGCAGGAGCACGGGGAGGGGATGTGGGAGGGGAAGGGGGAGGGACGCATAGACTCAATTTGTCCCTCCCACGAATACTTATACGAAGACTACGAGTAAGACGAAGACGACGAATACTAATACGAATCGTAAGAAGAAGACGAAGAAACGCAACACTACCACGAATAATAATACCGCATAGACCACCCTTCGGGTGATAAGGAGGTGAGGGGGGGGGGAGGGACCACTGTCGCACTCGATCGATCTCGCTGTCGATATCACTGTCGATCTCATCATCGATCTCATTCAATCGATCTCACAATCGATCTGGCTGTCGATGTCACAGTCGATCTCACTATCGATCTCACATTCGGTCTCACTATCACATTCGATCTCACAATCGACCTCACATTCGGTCTCACTGTCGATGTCACTATCGATATCACTCTGCATCTCATTCGATCGATCTCACACTCGATCTCACTATCGATCTCACAGTCGATCTCACATTCGGTCTCACTACCGATCTCACTATCGATATCACAATCGATCTCACAATCGATCTCACAGTCGATCCGACTATCGATCTCACTATCGAACTCACTATCGAAGTCATTATCGATCTCTCGTTCGGTCTCACTATCGATATCACAATCAATATCACAATCGATCTCACATTCGATATCATTATCGATCTCACTATCGAACTCACAGCCGGTCTCACTATCGATCTCACAATCGGTCTCACTATCGATCTCACTGTCGATATCACAATGGATCTCACAATCGATCTCACGATCGATCTCACAATCGATTTGACGATCGATCTCACAATCGATCTCACTATCGATCTCCCAATCGATCTCACATTCGGTCCCGCCATCAATATTACTATCGATATCACAATGGATCTCACAATCGATCTTACAGTCGGTCTCACAATGCACATCATCATCAACATCAACATCATCAACCACAACATCAATATCATCATCATCATCAACATCACCAACATCATCATCAGCATCATCATATTCACCATCATCACCATCATCATCACCATCATCATCATCATCATCATCATCATCATCATCGGGACACCGACGGGACACCGACGGGACACCAGCGGGACACTGGCGGGACACCGCGGGCCCCCGGCCGCCCGGAAGGGAGTCATTTGGTCCGGCCGCGCCTCAGCCACACGGGACACCAGCGGGACACCGGCGGGACACCGCGGCCCCCCGGCCGCCAGGAAGGGAGACATTTGGTTTGGCCGCGCCTCGGCCACAGGAGACTTTCTCTCGCCCGCCCACGCAGCTTCGCCTCGCCCGCACGGCACGCACGAACACGAAACCGAAATCGATTTCCCAGTAGGGGGGCTCTCCGTTCCACTTCGATCTCGCCCCCTCACCTCCGACTAATAAGAATACGAATAATCATAGTAATAAGAATAAGAAGAATAATATTACGAATCACTATAATACGAATAATAAGAATACGAATAAGAAGAAGAAGGAGAATAATAATTATAATAATAATAATAAGAATAATAATAATAATAAGAATAATAATGATACCACTACTAATAATAATACGGATGCTAATACTAATAAAACTAATACGACAACTAAGAATAATACTACGAATAAGAATGATAATACTAATAATAATTCTATTACGAATAAGAAGAATAATGAGAATACTACGAATACTAATAAGAAGAAAAACAATAATCAGACGAATATGAATACTAATAATAAGAATAATAATACTACTAATACTAATAATAACAAAAATAATACCAATAATACTAATAACAACAATACTAACATTACCACTGCTACTACTACTACTACTACTACTACAACTACTACTACTACTACTACTACTGATACTAATACGAATAAGACTAATACTAATCATACTAAGAATAATGATACTACTACTAAGAATAATACCAAGCATACTAATAATAAGAGGAATACTAACAACACTGTACTAAGAATAAGAATGATAAGACTATTTCGGATAATAAGAATAATAGGAAGAGGAGGAGGAGGAGGAGGAGGAGGAGGAGAGGAGGAGAGGAGGAGGAGGAGGAGGAGGGGAGGAGGAGGAGGAGGAGGAGGAGGAGGAGGAGGAGGAGAGGAGGAGGAGGAGGAGGAGGAGAGGAGGAGGAGGAGGGAGGAGGAGGAGGAGGAGGAGGAGGAGGAGGAGGAGAGGCGGGCACGCGAGACGGGCACGGGGCGCGCGCGGGGGGGGGGCACGGCCGCCCAGCGCACTGAGAGGGCACGCACGGGCGGGCACGAAGCGCGCCAGCCCTCTCGAGGGGGGCGTCGCCGTGGCGCAGGCCACGGCGCCGGGGGGGTCCGGGCCTCGCCTCTCGGGCCGTTGTTAGGAGGTGTCCCTGGCCCAAGGTCCCCACAGGATTTCCAGGGAGGCCCCCACGGCCTCAGGAGGGAGGGAGCGAGGGGACGAAAATAACGAAAAACCTTCGCTCGCGATTTTTTCCGCAAATCGATGGGATGTGGGGAGGAAGTGCCAGGATCCCACTTCCTCAGGAGGGAGGGAGGGAGCGATGGGACGAAGGCGGCGAGCGCGGGGTCGGGCGGGATCGGGCGGGGCTGTGTGGCGGGTCGGGCGGGCTGGACGGGCGGGGCGGGGCCGAGTGGGGTCGGGTGGGACGGGTGGTGATGTCGGGTGTTGCTAGACGTGCGCCTGGCTCAAATTGCCCCGAGGATCTCCAGGGAGGCCCCCACGGCCTCCAGGGCAGCCCTCGCGAGGCCCAGAGGGCCCGGGGGCTCCAGAATGGAGCGGAAAGCGGGGGGCACGCTGGGCCGGGGGCACTTGCAGCAACACCCGCGCCTCGCCGCCGGAGGAGGCTCGCCGCCCAGCGGGCCGCGGGAGGGGCAGGCCCAGCGGTCCTCGGAAGGGAGGCCGGCCTCGGGGGCAGCGCTGGGGGGGGGGGGGCTCTCGAGGCTCTCAGGGAGGCTCGAGGCCTCTCCTGAAGCAGCTGGGCGACACAACACAACGAGGGCACCCTCGAGGGCGCGAAGTTCTTCGCGCCTCGCACTTCGCGGTTCGGCTCGGATTCCTCCTCGTCCTCCTTTTCTTCCCTGGGGGGCGGCGCGATAGCGCGAAATTGTTCACGCTTCGCGCAGCGCGAAGCGCGAAGTGAGGCGCCCCTGACAAAACGGGTTCGACTTCGCTGACATTGGCGCGCACGCTGCCCGCGTATGGGCGCGCGTGAGCGCCCTCGTTTCCAGCGTCGCGGGCCACGCATGTAGCGTGCTACGCATGCGGCCCGCGTAAGCTTCGGCGTAAGGTCGCGACGTCGTCTCGCGTAAGACCCGTTCCTGATCGTCATCTTGAACAGTTGAGTATCTGAAGCATCCTCCTCCTCCTCCTCCTGCTCGAGGACGCGCTGGCCGTGGCCTCGGCAGCTTAGTAGCGCGTTCTGCCCACGCGTCCTTCATGGACGCACGGCTTTCCTGTCTTGTCAGGACTTGTGGACCGTTTTCCAGCCTCGGGGTGCTCTCCAGCAGCTGCGCCTCGCCGAGAGCGTTCCTGGGGCGCCCAGATCGTCCCCAATGGCCGCCAGGGAGCAGAGTCATGACTGGAAAACAAGGAGGCAACGTTCGTGGGGTATAGGCGCAGAGGGGAATGCATCAATCACTAATCTCCCGTTGATCGCCAATAGGGGCCCGATGGCCCCACCCCGCCCATGACCATACGGATTCGCTGTCGGGAGTCCATCGCCGATCAAACGGCGCTGTATCGCCGATTCCAGCTCGATTTTTGCCCACTTGAGCAGGCCACCCCCCTATTGTTGCTCCCCACAGGCAGGGGAGACCCGGCGCCTGGAGCTGCTGAAGGAGGATCCGCTCGGGGCCTGGCACGTCTTCGGGCCGCGCACAGACAGCCCCCACAGGTCGTCCCGCGTGGCCTCAACAGACCCCCGAGTAGGTCTCAACGCCTTGGGGGGCTGTCTGTGCGCACCCCGAAGCCTCACCAGCGGTGACCACACCGTGTGGTGAGTCAGTGGGGATTCGGGTTCTTCGGGCGTTCTCGTCGGCCCCTCGGGATTTTCCTGCCACGGGCGTGCGCTGCGGCAGCCCCGCCTCGCCGAGAGTGGGGCCCCGCATCGTCCCGAACCGAACGGCCGCCAGAGGCCCGAGCTTTGGATCCGATGCCAAGAACTCGGAGGAGGGCCGATGTGCTGATTCAGCGGGAATTGGGGGTCGAGGGGGAGGAGGAGGAGGAGGAGGAGGAGGAGGAGGAGGAGGAGGAGGAGGAGGAGGAGGAGGAGGAGGAGGAGGAGGAGGAGGAGGGCGAGGAGGAGGAGAAGGAGGAGAAGGAGGAGGAGGAGGAGGACGAGGAGGAGGAGGACGAGGAGGAGGAGGAGCCAGGCCCCGACGTCGTTTTTTTTGTTTTGGTTTTTCATGGCGTGGACCCCCAGCGTTCTGGACCCATTCCCAGGGACGGGCTTTTTCATCCTTAGGGGGCCACATGCGAGCCCTACCCCTAACACCCCACGATTTCTGAGGGGGAGGGTGTGCCGTTGTTTGACAGTCCTGAGGCCTGGTAATGGGCCCCCGGAGGCCGACAGCACACGGCGAAGAGCCTGCTGTCGTATTTTTCGTTGGGCCCGCGGGGGGGTCTCGGGACCGTGCGGTGAGGCCGTGGGTAATTCCGAGGTCGCCGCGCAGAGTTTGCGAGAAGGCTGCTTACTGCTTTCCCAAATGGTTGTCACTAACTGCTCTGAGACAGGCTCCCAGGCAAAAGCGTTTCAGTTTTGCTCGTACACCGTGGGTCCATACTGAAAGGCATGAATAACTTTGTTTTTTTTTGCATGCTCATGACATTGTAAAGAGCGGAGACACTTTCGCCATGATCGATGGCTTCAAGCACTAAGGGGAGAGTAGGACGAGCTACGCGAAGGGAGCCGTAGTGAAGATATTCGGAGACTCGACTGGCAAGCTGCAGAGCAAAGCGACGATAACATCCATGGGTTCCGCGACGTCCAACTACTTCACCGTGGCTGACAGCCTCTTCGCTGGCGGGGCCACGGTCTCTGAGCGGCTCCAGAGGCAGATTGTGATCAAGGGGCTCTGGGGGGAAGTGTCGCATGCCGCGTCGGCGCCCTGGAGGATCCTGATTCGACATCGGAGGCCCAACAGGAGGATGTGCTAGGCGTGAAGAAGACAACCGCGATCGAAACGTCGGACCCGGATTGCCCAGTCAAGGGAACACTACATTCGGCAAGCTCTGACGGGCCTGTCCCTCCAAGAGCGCAGGCGGTAAGGGGGCTGTCTGGCGCTGGCCCGCGAAAACGGGCAAAGCCGAGCGGCGACGCGGTGACCTCGGTGTTGAGCAGGACCGCGCAGAGGAGAGGCACTGGTACTCTGTGTCTGGTGTCTTATCACGACGCGTGGGAAGAGTGTGAAGATGCTGCTCCGTCCGACGTTCCCTCGTCCTGGATGGGGCCTGCCGGCGTTCGCTGAAGAGGTTCGATCGCCTCCGCTCGATGCTGGTCAGGGACCATGCTGCAATGTGTCGTTTTCGTGACCTTGAGGTGTGCGTTGGGCGGCAGTGCTCCACGACAGTCACTGATTCTGGCGGATGGGCGCCTGTGCGCGCGTTACGGTGGGTGGATCAAAAGTGTCCGCACGTGTTTCGCCAATTTTTTTGAGTTATTAAAGTACGTCGGACCAGCATGTACACCCCCCTTTCCCTGAATTCGAAGTTGACGGGTCTAGGCGGCAGGCCAAAGGCCAGGGACAAAATGTGGACACTTCCAACTTTGGGTTGTGGGGGGGAGGGGTGCGAAGCAAGGGCATCTCGCAGCTGTGGCTCCTATCATGTTGCATCGCCTTCCCGCCATGGGTGTGGACATGTTATGTCCAGGCACCGTAGTGTTAAGTCGGGGTTGTCCCTTTACATGGAGAAAACTCGAAAATAGTTGAAAATAGTCAGTGGACGATTTTTTGTAGTATTTTTGTTGGGTATTTTTTGACCACTTTTCATTTTTCACCCAAGGTCCCCCTGTAGGGGGCATGCCCGACCTAATTGTAGTCAAACGAATGATGAAGGAAGGAATTGCGCGCCCGAGGGAGCCCTCGCCCTGGCGGCCGTGGCTTTGTCATATGTATATTTAGATATACATAGAGGCCGTGGGACCCAAGGCTGCCCTCTGCTCGAGGGGTTCGGGCTCGCCGTGGTCGACGGGAGGCGTCCCTACCGAGGGCTGGAAAAGGTAGACATCTTCTGGGATCGCCGCGGGGGTTGCTAAGGGCATAGGGGGATACAAGTGGATGCTAAGGTGGGTTCTATCTGGCCTAGCCTAGCTTAGGAGTGGGTTGCACGTGCCCTAGGTGGCTTACGGGCGTACAGATCTGGGCTGAGTTGGCGGCGCCCATTTAGCGGAGCCACCTCATCATCCTAAGCCACATATGGCACTTGTAACCCACGTATAAGTTGGGTTAGGCCAGATATAACCCACCTTAGCATCCACTTCTACCCCCCGCATCCCCATAGTAACCACCGCGGCGATCCAAGTTTGCTGAATGACGATGGCGAAGTTCCGTGGCTCATGGGGGCGTCGATCGGGCATGCCATATCCCGTATGAAGAACGAAGAGCTTACCCGATGTATCAGAGGTGGATTGGTGATCATCACAGAGCGCCGCCTACTCTTCTCAAAGCGTCGGAGCTCAACTATTCTCTGGCTGGGCACTTTGCCCCTTCTCCCATCGGCACGGCGACGCGCGGTGATGCAGCTCATATCCGCGTCTGCACGGCGAAACGGACGCCGAAGGACATGTCACCAAACGATCCTGCTGCCCCAGGTGCGCCGAAGGACCTGGGCGCCGTGCCCTCGTCTGGAGACTCTGCCACCCGTCGAGGTGAAGCACGAGGGTTGGCCCTTCGAGAATCTGGCGAGGCTGTGATTGGAAAGCTCGATTGCGTAGCCTGGCTGGACGTTGAAGGGTGTATTCGATCAGACGATGCGCTGCGCGCGGCTCCACAATGTCACGCCTGGGAATTTATCTCCCTGGCCAACTTCGTGTGACCAGGGGCGAGGCCCTTCTCGAGGGCCTTCAAATACGCCAGCCCCGATCTGGTGGAAGCAGGCGTGCTCGTCACTTTTGGCGCCAGGGCTTGCGCGAAGTACGAGTCTGAGTTGGCGCCGGGTGGGGCGGTGATAGCGCCAGGCCGCCCCGAGTCCCAAAAAGCGATGGAGGTCTTCCAGATCTCGCGCTGTGACGGGGCTCTGGCTTGGCTGGCGTTGTGCGACGGAAGCATGATCGCTAGGTCTGTTAGGGCGTCGAAGAAATCTGGCTGCATCGGACTATTCTAGGAAGGACAGGCCCTCGAGATAATCCCGGTTTTTGATGTAGTAATCGGCCCGGCCGCGTTGCATTGGTTGTCGACGACCCCCTGGATGGGCGAGGCTGGGTTACTCTGTGGCTGTCTTCGGCTGGTCCGACCGCGACTGCAGACGTGGTCATGTCGCGACAAAGCGGCCCAAGTGGCTGCGTTCGCATGCGGTTCCACCCCCCATGTCGGCACACACACTTCACACGTTTTTGCGGCCTCACAAGGAGCCCCACCGCAGGCCTCAGTGGCTGCGCTCGCATGCGGTTCCGCCTCCCATTTTGACTCACCCCTCACACGTTTCGTGGCCCCATGAGGAGCTCCACCGAGTGCCCCGGTGGCTGCGTTCGCATCGGTTCCCCCCCTGTTTCGGCACACCCCTCACGTTTCGTGGCCCCCCTAAGAAGCTCCACCGAAGGCCCCAGTGGCTGCGTTCGCATGCGATCCCACCGTCATTTTGGCACATCCCTCGCACGTTTCGTGGCCCCAGAGGGAGCTCCACCGAAGGCCCATTTTGTTTTCCCAGATGTATAACGCGCAGGCCCATCTCCCGAAGGAGCAGTGGAACAGGCCAGAATCTGCGCTGGCCAGGGCGCGTGCTGCCCGAGCGCTCATGCTCACTACATGTTATGTACCAGCCTAGCTGACTTGCTGGCGCCTTCATGACACGAGTGACAACTGCGGTACTCGCAACTGCATATGGTCAGGTTCTGCGCCAGGATATTTTTTTTTGGGGGGGGGGGTGATGCGCCCTGGCGCGCAAAGGCTTTGGTTGCTGAGGGGCCCACCGCGGGGGGAGTCGTTGCTGTCGCTTCCCCTGCCTATCTTTAGGCGAGCCTGCGCGCGCGTTTCCGCGCGTTTGGCTCAAGTAACTTGAGAGACACGAACCGTCTTGGCAGGAAAAGGGTGCGCGCGCATCCCTCTTAGCACGCGCGCGTGTGTATCATTACTCTGGAGGATGCAGCAGATAGGTTGTGGACAGGGGGCGGTCTGGCATAGGTTCTGCGCCCTGCGTGGCGGTGGCACCCGCGACCCCAGCCGGCATGACGCCACCTTCCTCCGCTGCTTCCTCCACCAGCGTGAGCTGCTGTGAGCTACCCATACGCTGCCGCTCCAGAGGGGCCCGGTCGCGTGTGCCAGCGGACAGCTGCATTCTTGGTTCTCGCGGTCTGCGGCCCACTTGGCTTCGTTCCACGAGCAGTGCAGCGACATTTACGTGGATTGAGATTGGGTCTGCCAGCGCCAGCGCCATTGGGACCCCATGACCCAGGGGTGCGACAGCGGCAGCCAAGGCCGGGGGGAAGCAAGCCCAGTGCCGCCACGCGCTGTCCTCCCCGGGCGGTGCGTGGCCCGTGTCCACGAGATGTTGCACCGATGACGGTGCCCTCAGTTCTGCTGCGCGCTGTCCTCCCCAGGCGGTGCGTGGCCTCCTCCCCGTGCTGCCGCGCGCTGCCCTCCCCAGGACGGTGCGTGGCCCGTCTCCACATGAAGTTGCACCGACTGGGTGCCCCCAGTCCTGTCGCGCGCCGTCCTCCCCGGGCGTCGCGTGGCCCCCTCCTCCCTGCACTGCCACGCGCTGCCGTCCCCGGGCGGTGCGTGGCCTGATTTCCACATGGCGTTGCACCGGCTAGGTGCCCCCCAGCCCTGCCACGCGCTGCCCTCCCAGAACGGTTCGTGGCCTCCACGGGCCGTTCGGCCCCAGTTTTGTATCCCCGCGGTGCGGATCCACGCGCTGGCGCTGCACGTCGGCGGGGCCCCCCGCGGCTGGCACCGCAGCCGGCGCTGGGCTGCGGGACGCCGCCGTCCCGCCTGCTGAGGGATCCATGCAGGCGGGTCGCTCCTCTCCCTTGGCCCCTCCTCCCCTCCCTCGCCTTTCCCTCCCTCCCCTCGCCTTCCCCTCCCTCCTCGCCCCTGTCCCCCCTCCTCCCCTCCCTCGCCTTTCCCTCCCTCCCCTCGCGCGCTGTCATGGCGCCGCTCGCGGCCGCTCTCGGCGTGTGCAGCTCCCCGTGGTAGCCGAGCCATCGGACACTGCGCTGGAGCGCATCACCCCAGCCTGACACCCAGCGGGCACACCATTTAGCTGCTGGCAGTCCCTTACCTGGACGTTTACGCTGTCTACGACTTGCTCAACCGCGTGCTGAGCATCGGCACCGCCCGCGGATGCACCGACCTCGCGGCCCGGCTGTTGCCACGGCCGGCCCCCGCTGCCGCTGCTGGCCGCGCCAGCGCGCTGGGGGCGGAATCCTTCCACGTCTGAGTGCCCTCCGCCTCTTCCCGTCCTCTGCGGCCGCCCTGTCTGTCTCGTTTTCCCCCTCTTGCATGCTGGCCAATTCGCTATTCGGTTGCCCCGAGTCGCCAAACGCTGGTGTGGACCGCCTCCGCCTCGCCGCCGACGGAAACAAATGTATGATTACTCGCTCTTACATGGAACCACCGAAAGTCTACGGCCATGTCGCTGGAGTTTGCGAAAAAAGGGACCATCCGTCAACGAGATCCTAGGGAAGGGAACTTCGGAGCCAGGGGGCCAGAGTGAGGTTGATGCTCGAATGTCATAATGGAACATCTGCTCCCCCATGGGGTTAAGTCGGGCCTGTCCCTCTACAGGGGGAGTGTTCCCAAAATAGTCAATGGTCACGCATAGCCTAACAATATTACGGGGATGTTTTTTCGAGCATTGTTTTGCTATTTGGATATATATATATATATATATATAGATCTATGTTGAATATTTCTGTCGCCCCCAAATCGGCTTGTATAAGGGACACGCCCGACCTAACCCTAAGGGTGCGCATCCCCCGGAGGAGTTGGAGGTCCAGGACAGGCGGCGGCGGCCGCGCCCGACGCGGCGCCGCACGCCGCCGCCGCGCGTGCTGGCGAGCCTGGGCACGCGAGCCGCCCGCCCTGGCCGCGGCGCGCCAGCGGGCGGAGCGGCTGCTGGGAGGCCTCGGGGGGGTCAGGGGAGGGAAAACTACCCAGACCGGACAGTCGGCGTTTACTTAACGGCCTTGGGCGTTTACTAAACAGCCCTGCGCTGTTCGGTTCCTTCAGTGGGGGCGTTTTGTAAACGGCTTCGTGTGTCGGGGTGGTGGGTTTTTGGCCTCTAGGGGGTGGGGTGGGGGGGGGCGGATGCAGCCAGAGCTCTGAGCAAGGGGGGCCGGCGGTTAGGGCCCCGCGAAAGTCCCCCAAATGGGCCGGAAACATTGAATATCCTGCTCCTCCTGCTCCTCCTCCTTCTACTCCTCCTGCTGGGACCCCTCGGGGGGGGGGGGGGGGGGCTGATGCAGCCAGGGCCCTGGGCAAGGGGGGCCGGTTAGGGTTAAGCCGGGCCTGTCCCTCGAAGAATATGCAAAAATAGTGATAATATCGTCAGGGAACGACTTTCCGACTATTGTTGATCATTTTGGGGTATATTTTGACAATTTTCAAGTTTTTGTCCAACATCCGCCTGTAAGGGGACACGCCTGACCTAAAGGCAGTGCCCTGGGCAAGCGGCTAGGGCCCCGCGACGGTCCCCCGAACTGGCCAGAATCGTTAAGCCAGGTGTGCCGTAGGGGGTGCTTCTTCGGGCGGCGGCAATTCGGGATTCCGGAGTGACCTTTGGTGCGGGCTCACGGGGGTCCCCAGATGGCTGACTGAAATGCGACAGCAGCGGCTTGCCCGCTGTGAAAGAGCGCGTGCCGTGGTCGCTTGGAGGGGGGTTTGGAACCCGACCCCCCCCTCTGGATGGAGGGGGGGGGTTCAAACCCCCTGTCTCCCTCCCATGACGGAGCGGGGTGGGGTGGGGGTTCGAAAGCCCCCCCCACTTCCCTCCCCTGGATGGAGGGCGGGGTGGGGTTTCGAATCCTCCCCCCCTCCCATGATGGAGGGGGGGGGGGCCCTCCCCTGCTTCCCCTCTCCTCGGGCGGGCGCTTGCGTCGGCGGCGGCTGGCGGCGGCGGCGGGGACGACGATTTCCTTTTCTGGGCCGGCGCTGGCGCCTGCGGCGGCGGGCGGCGGCGGCGGGGAGCGTCGACGAGGACGACGGTGGCGGTGGTGGTGGTGGTGGTGGGTTGTGGTGGTGGTGGTGGCGGTGGTGGTGTGTGTTGTGGTTGGTGGTGGTTTGTTGTGGTGGTGGTGGTGGTGGTTGTGGTGGTGGGTGGTGGTGGTGGTGGTGGTGGTGGTGGTTTGGTGGTGGTGTGGTGGTGGCTTGTGGTGGTGGTGGTGGGTTGTGGTGGTGGTGATGGTTTGGTGGTGGTGTGGTACTGGTTCGTGGTGGTGGTGGTGGTGGTGGTGGTGGTGGGTTGTGGTGGTGGCCTTTGTTTGTGGAGGTGGTGGTGGTGGTGATGGCGGTGGTGGTGGTGGTGATGGTGGTGTGGTGGTTTGTGGTGGTGGTGGGTTGTGCTGCTGGTAATGGTGGTGGTTGTGGCGGTGGTGGTGGTGGTGGTGGTGGTGGTGGTGGTGGTGTGGTAGACTGGTGGTGGTGGTAGTGGTGGTGTGTTTTAGTGGTGGTGGTGGTGATGGTGAGCTGTGATGGTGGTGGTGTTTGTGGTGGCTGCGGTGATGGTGTGGTTGTGGTTTGTGGTGGTGGTGGTGGTGGTGGGTTGTGGTGGTGGCAGTGGTTCGTGGAGGAAATGCTGGTGGTGGTGGTGGTGGCGGTGGCGGTGGTGGTGGTGTGGTGGTTTGTGGTGGTGGCGGCGTGTTGTGCTGCTGGTAATGGTGGTGGTTGTGGCGGTGCGGGTGGTGGTGGTGGTGGTGGTGGTGGTGGTGTGGTAGACTGTGGTTGTGGTAGTGGTGGTGGTTTTTTGTGGTGGTGGTGGTGGTGATTGTGATGGTGAGTTGTGGTGGTGGTGGTGGTGGTTGTGGTGGTGGTGGTGGCTGTGGTGGTGGTGATGGTGTGGTGGTGGTTGTGTGGTGGGTTGGTGGTGGTGGTGGTGGGTTGAGGCGGTGGTGGTGGTGGTAGTGATGCTGGTGGTGGTAGTGGTGGTAATTGTGGCCGCGTCCCCGCCGTCGCCGGCGCCAGCGCCGGCTCTGCTGGCCGCCGCCTGCGCCGGCGCTGGGGGGGTGGGAGGGGGCGCTGGGGGGGTGTTCAACCCCCCCCCCTCCCTTGGGCTGCCTTTGGTCATCGTCGCTGCGTTTTGCCGTCGGCGCTGCTGGCGGCCGCCAGCGCCGGCGCCGGCGCCGAGGTGGGGGGTTTGGACCTCGCCCCCCCCGCCCCCCCTTGGGAAGGGGGGGGGGGTCCGGATGGGGGGTGGTTTGGGGGGGAGGGGAGTCCCGCTGCTTTTGATCGACGGGGCCGAGTGTTGGGCGGGGGGCCCACTCCCCGGTCTGAAACGCGCCGCCGACTGTTCCCAATGCAAGCGCCCGTGAAACGCGTTCTCTCCGCGTTCTAGTTCCGCTTCCCCGCGGCCCCCGGAAGTCGCGCACAAGAGGTCACTCTTGCCTAGGGTCACTGTTGCGTGTAGGCGAGAGTGAGGCCGGTTGGGGCCCCGCGAAGGTCCCCCAAACGGGCCGTAAGCATGAAGCCAGGTCAGCCGTAGGGGGTGCTTCTTCGGGGGCGGCGGCCGTTCGGGTGAGTGGATTGGGGCGGGGGGGGCGTTCTCCCTGTGCTCATCATGAAACCAGGCGCCACTGAAGCCAGTCCTGCCGACGCCCAAGATGCGGGCTCTGGGAGCTGTGGGCCCCAGACCTCCAACGCATTGCCAACAAAGCAGAACGGAGGTTTTTCGTGGCTTTCGACCTCCAGGAGACGATTTAGGATGAGAAACCGGCCCCCGGGAAAGGGTCGGGATTTGGGGGGGGGCCTTATTAACAAATCCAAATCTGGGTGGGGGGTCTGGGAGTTCAAATCTGAGTAGGTGGTAGTGGTGTGGTAGTGGTGTGCTCGTGGTGTTTTTCGCTGTGCGCTTCTAGGTGTGGCTGCGCCTGATGCCCTGGTGGCTTGTTGGTCTGCTGTGTTTACGGTGTGCTGACTGGGGTGGTCGGCTGCTCGGTTGTGCGCTCTCCTCATTGCACAGTACTGTAGTTGCCTTCGGTCTTGGGCTGTATGCAGGCCGCTTGGACGATGTCTTCTTGGTGGATTGTGATGCGCGAGTGGTATTCTTTTGCGTTTGGTCATGTGTCGCAGCTCTCCCGACTCTTGCTTTTATCCTGTACGATTTCCCTAGCGTGCTGGTCTTGGGTGGCCAGGCTGCTTGGGTGGAGGCACGTTCTGGGCATGTAATCCTGACTGCGGGCTTTCGGGGTGTCTACTGGCGTGTTGTCTCCACCGTTGTGCTTGTGCTGGCCGCTCTAGATGATGTGGTCTTCGTCTCCTCTCCTCTCTCCTCTCCTCTCTTCTCCTCTCTTCTCCTCTCCTCTCCTCTCCTCTCTCCTCTCTCTCTCCTCTCTCTCCTCCCTCTACCTCTCCTACTCCTCTCCTCTCCTCCCTCCCTCTCCTCCCTCTCACTCGCCTGCTCTCTCCTCCCTCTCCTCCTCCTCCTCCTCCTCCTCCTCCTCCTCCTCCTCCTCCTCCTTCCCCCCTCCCCCCTTCTCCAGGCAGACTCCGCGATCCCAGGCACGGGCCTGCTCCCCTGGTTCTGGCCCGATGAGCTTGGACGACCTGAAGCAGCACCTCGCGGTTGCGGACAGGCTGAAGAGGCCTCCCCCCCCCAGGAAGAGGAGGGCCAGGTAAAGATGAGGCAGGGTCGAGGAGTGTAGGGAGATGAGGAGGAAGAGGAGGGGGGGAGGAGGAGAAAGCCTTGCTTCTGCATCCGGAGGGCCGGAGGGCTCTAGGGACTTCTGGGACCTTGGAGACTTCCGGAGACCTCCCATGACTTCGGGGGATGTGAGTGTGGGTGTGGGAGGAGGAGGAGGAGGAGGAGGAGGAGGAGCAGCAGCAGCAGCAGCAACAGCAGTAGCAGGAGAAGGATGATGCTGATGCTGATGATGCTGATGATGATGATGATGATGATGATGATGAGGAGGAGGAGGAGGAGGAGGAGGAGGAGGAGGAGGAGGAGGAGAGGGAAGCGCTAGGACGAGGCCCTCTTTCCTTCCGCCTCCGCCCGCCCTCCCCCCTCTCTCCTCCGTCCTCCGTCCTCCCTCCCCTCGTGCCCCCCCTCCTCCTGTTCCTCGCTCCCGCCTCCCCCCCCCCTCTCGGCTCGCCCCCTGTCCTTCCCCCTCTGCGGCCTCCCTGCCTCTGCACCTGGTGCCGCTCGCCCCCAGGCTCGCATCCCTCCCGCCCAGGAACGGCCCAACGAGCTCAACGAGCCCCAGTGGGGCGCGCACGCCTGCTGGGCCCGCCCCGGGATGGCCCGCACCGGGATGGCTCGTCCTGCCAGTTTCTCACGATTCGCGTCACCCGCCGCGGGGCCAGCTCGCTCGTCGCTGCGGGCGTGCCGCTTTGGATGCGGAGGCGCACGCCTCGGAGCCAGCAGCGAGGCACGTAAGCGAGATCTCCCCGTTTTTTTGTTTTTGTTTGTCTTTGTATATCTATATGTGTTTATATATATAAACAAGGAATACACCACAATGATTCTTCTTATTCTGATGATGGTTATGGTTTTGATTTTGGGTATGGTTGTGAACATGATCATGATGATTATTACCATCATTGTTTTGATCATCATTGTCATTCGCATCTTCATTATGACTATTATTATTGTTATTATTTACATTTTCACTCTTATTATTATCGTTATTCGTATTATTAGGATTCAAATGATTATTATTATTGCTATTGTTATTCTTATTGGTATTGTTTCTTATGATCGTTATTATCATCATTCTTATCATTTGTATTTTTATTAGTATTAGTATAATAATAATAATAATTATTATTATTATTATTATTATTATTAGTATTACTATTCCTTGGCGCCCAGAGAGGAAGGAGGAGGGCTGCATCGCGGCTGAGCCAGTCGACGACGTCGTCGTCATCGTCGTTCCTGTCGTTGTCGTCGTCGTCGTCGTCGTCGTCGTGCACGTGCTCGTGCTCGTGCTCGTGCTCGTGCTCGAGCTCGTGCGCATGGTCGTCGGCGCCGTCGTCGTTGCCGTCGCCGTCTCCGTCTCCGTCGTTGTCGTCGCCGTCGTTGTCGTCGTCGTCGCGGTGCTCGTGCTCGTGCTTGTTCTCGTGATAATGATCGTGCTGGTCGACGTCGTCGTCGTCGTCGTCGCCTCCGCCGTCGTCGTCGTCGTCGTCGTCGTCGTCGTCGTCGTCGTCGTCGTCGTCGTCGTCGCCGTCGCCGTCGCCGTCGTCGTCGCCGTCGCCGTCGTCGTCGTCGTCGCCGCCGTCGTCGCCGTCGTCGCCGCCGTCGTCGTCGAGTTCGTCGTTCGCGCCGTCGTCGTCGTCGTCGTCGTCGTCGTTTTCGTCGACGTCTTCGTCGTGTCGTCGTCGTCACCGTCGCCGTCGCTGTCGCTGTCGCCGTCACTGTCGCCGTCGCCGTCGTCGTCGCCGTTTTGCGTCGACGTCAGGCTTGTGCTCGTGCTCGTGCTCATGCTCGTGTTCGTGCTCGAGCTCGAGCTCGTGCTTGTAGTTGTCGTCGTCGTCGTAGCCGTCGCCGTCGTCATGCTCGTTTTCTTGCTCGTGCTCGTGGTTGTGCCGGTCGCCGTCGTCTTTTCGTCGTCGTCGTCGTCGTCTTGTCGTCGTCGTCGTCGTCGATGTCGTTGTCTTCGTTTTCGTAGTCGTCGTCTCCGTCTCCGTCGTCGTCGTCGTCGTCGTCGTCGTCGTCGTCGTCGTCATTGTCGTCGTCGTCGTCGTCGTCGTCATCGTCGTTCCTGTCGTTGTCGTCGTCGTCGCCGTCGTCGTCGTCGTCGTCGTCGTGTTCGTCGTGTTCGTCGTCGTCGTCGTTTTCGTCGACGTCGTCGTCTCGTCGTCGTCGCCGTCGCCGTCGCTGTCACCGTCGCCGTCGTTGCTGTCGCCGTCGCCGTTTCGCGTCGGCGTCAGGCTTGTGCTCGTGCTTGTGCTCTTGCTCGTGCTCGACCTCTCGTCGTCGTCGTCGTCGTCATCGTAGCCGTCGTCGTTGTCATGCTCATTCTCGTGCTCGTTCTCGTGATCGTGCTGGCCGCCGTCGTCGCCGTCGTCGTCGTCGTCGTCGTCGTCGTCGTCGTCGTCGTCGTCTCGTCTCGTCGTCGTCGTCGTCGTCGTCGTCATTGTCGTTGTCGTTGTCGTCGTCGTGGTCGTCGTCGTCGTCGTAGCCGTCGTCGTCGTCATGCTCGTTTTCGTGGTCGTGCTCGTGATCGAGTTGGTCGCCGTCGTCGTCGTCGTCGTCGTCGCCTTCGTCGTCGTCGTCGCGGTCGTCGTCGTTGTCTTGGTCGCCGTCGTCGTCGCCGTCTCCGTTGTCGTCGTCGTCATCGTCGTTGTCGTCGCCGTCGCCGTCGTCGTCGTCGTCGTCGTCGTCGTCGTCGTCGTCGTCGTCGTCGGCGTCGTGTTCGTCGTCGTCGTTGCCGTCGCCGTCGCCGTCGTCGTCGCCGTCGCCGTCGACGTCGCCGTCGCCGTTGTGCTCGTACCCGTGCTCCTGCTCGTCCTCGCGCTCGCACTCGTCGTGCTCGTGCTAGTGCTCGTGCTCGCGCTCGTGCTCGTGCTTGTCGTCGTCGCCGTCACTTTCGTCGTCGTCGTCGTGCTCGCGCTCGCGCTCGTGCTCGTGCTCGTGCTCGTGCTCGTGCTCCTGCTCTTCATCGTTATCGTTATCGTCGTCGTCGTCGTCGGCGTCGTTGGCGTCGTCGTCGTCGTCGTCGTCGCCGCCGCTTTGCGTCGTCGTCGTCGTCGCCGTCACCGCCATCATGCTCGTGCCCGTGCTCGTGCTCGTGATCGTGATCGTGATCGTGATCGTGATCGTGATCGTGCTTATCGACGTCGCCGCCGCCGCCGCCGCCGCCGTCGTCGTCGTCGTCGTCGTCGTCGTCGTCGTCGTCGTCGTCGTCGTCGTCGTCGGCGTCGTCGGCGTCGCCGTTGTCGTCGTTGTCGTCGTCGTCGTCGCCGTCGTCGTCGTCGTCGTCGTCGCCGTCGTCGTCGTCGTCGTCGTCTCCGTCCCCGTCTCCGTCGTCGTTGTCGTCGCCGTCGCCGTCGTCATCGTTGTCGTCGACGTCGTCGTCGTCGTCGTCGTCGACGTTGCCGTCGCCGTCGCCGTCGCCGTCGCCGTCGGCGTCGCCGTCGCTCTTCTGTCTCCGTATCTATCGCTGTCTTCGTCGCCGTCACTGTCGCCGTCGTAGTCGTGCTCGTGCTCGTGCTTCCTTGTGCTCGCGCTCGTCGTGCTCGGGCTCGAGCTAGAGCTTGTGCTCGTGCTCGTGCTCGTGCTCGTGCTCGTGCTCGTGCTCGTGCTCGTGCTCGTGCTTGTCGTCGTTGTCGTCGTCGTCGCCGTCGCCGTCGTTGTCGTCTCGCGCTCGTCATCGTCGTCGTTGGCGTCGTCGGCGTCGCCGTCGTCGCAGGCGCGCGGCGGATCTGGAGAGCGAGCTGGACGGGCGAGAGGAGCAGGCGGCCAGCGTGGGGGGGGCCGGCTTCCGCTCCTGCTGCGCAGCGGGGGGGCGCGCAAAGAAGGACCCCGCCCCAGCGGCGGCGGAGGAGGTGGCGCCCGACCCCGGGAGGCCCCCGCAGCCGCAGACTTGGGCTCATTGGGGTACTTGCTCGTCCTCGCCGACGAGGAAGCGCCGATGCAGCGTCGACTAGCGCCGAGTCGGCGTCGATTCGCGTCGACTGGCGTCGATTGGCGTCGGTTCGCGTCGATTCGCCAGCGCCAGCAAGATGGCGCGGGAGTCTCCCATGAGTGGCCGCCGCAGTCTCAGAGAGCTCTCCTCCTCCTCCTCCTCCTCCTTCTCCCCCTCCTCCCTCTCCTCCTCCTTCTCCTCTTTCTCCTCCTCCTCCTCCTCCACCTCCTCCTCCTCCTCCTCCTCCTCCTAAGGATGGTTGGTCGCCCTTCCGCGGCCGCCCTGCCGCACCGCGGCCGAGGGCGAAGGGGACGGGCTTCTGGCCCCAGGGGCCCGCAGCCAAGGTGCGCTCGTGCCATACCTGACGTCCTACAGTCGGGGCCCTGAAGAAGGAACCCTTTTCGTTGGGGAGGGGCTCCGTGTTCCTTAATTGTTTCGCAGCTTGCCTTGGATTTTCCCTAGGGTTTCGATACGAAATCGAAGTTCAACTTATGGAAAATAGGGGCCTCGTTCCTTATTTAGGGTTCCTTAGGTCAACGCCCCGACTGTAACCCTCCCTCCCACCCCTTACCATGGCGTAGATCCCCTCTCTATTCGCGCAGCCGGATGTCGAGCAGGGCAATGATCGCGAAAGGGTGCGCGATGCATCATAGAGCAGGCCTTGGCGTGGCGTAGAAGGGCACGGCAGAGCGCAGAATGCCATAGCATGGCGTGGCAATGAGCAGTGAAGCATTGCATCACACAGCATTGCAGCGCAAAGCATGGCATCGCACAGCGGCGCAGAACAGAACACCGCACAGCATGTCATGGCAGGACGCCGGGTTCCTTGGAGGGTAGGCGGATCGTCTTCGAAGGGTCTGGGCCGGTCTGCACTCGCGGCTCCACGTTTGCCTCCCTGGGCTCCCCGAAAAGCTCCCCACAAGGCGGGGCTGATGGTCAAGCAGTGGCGAAGCGTCCTGGCGTGCCTGCAGGCCTACCGAACAATGTTCTAAGAACCTTTGATTGTTTCCACAAAGTGCTCTTAGACCATTTCTGGCTGGGACCGTCTTTTTCTAAACACGTCGGGCTTATGTTCTAAGAAAATTGTTTCTGTTCTTAGCACATTTGTGGGTTGTAAAAACGTGTCGTGGTAGGCCTATAGAAATACCGGGACGGTCGGTCCTTGCTCAAGATGGAGAGCACCCGCTGGCTCTGCTTGCAACATCGCCTTTCTGACGGCAGGAACGGGGCTCCCGCTTGATACTTTTTCCAAACGACGCCGCCCAGAAGTGGGGGGGCCTTCTGCGGCCCAAAAACCCAACGACTCGACACCGGATGTGTAATCACTTGCGATTTTTTTTTTTTTTTTTTTTTTTTTTTTTTCTTGGAGGTCATTTTCTGGATTCGGGGCCTACTTGGAATGACCGAAACGGTCCGCGCTACAGCGGGAGCACGTTTTGGAGCAACCAGAGGCGCAGAAATGGGGCCAGCGCTGCAGCGGGAGCAACATTGTGAAGGACCGAAAAGAATCGGATTGTCATCACACATGCGGAAACCAGGAAATGAGGCCAGCGCTGCAGCGGGAGCACGATTCTGAGCGAGGGGACGCCCGAAAATGTGGCCAGCGTTTCAGCGGGAGCAACGTTTTGAATCAGCACCCACGCGAAAACCCAGTTCCCGGCAATCCTGTGTATGAAAAACGATACGAGGAGGGGGGCCGGGTATCTTCCCGACGCCATCAGGGGAGAGAGGAGAGTAGTATTCATACATTGCTGTGACAAAAGTACTATGCGGTCTTCATTCAACATGACTCAAGACTGGCGGAGTAAACGGAGTGGGCGGAGTAGAAATTACTCCGCGTGGACATGCATCCCGCCCCATTTTTCATATAGGAATGGGCGGAGTAATTTCCGATCCTGTTGTGAGATAGCAATGTTATCACCTAGAGGTAGACGAGTTACTCCGCGGGATCGCGGAGGACGCATGTCAATGTTAGGAATCTTCAGAGGGATAGGAGATTCCAACATATCATAAAACCGCATAATCTTTTGTCACGGCGGTGTATTGTGTAATTGTAGAGGGGGGATAGGCAGATGGGGGGATAGGCAGAGGGAGTATAGGCAGAGGGGATAAGCGCGGGGGGGGGGGGATAGGCAGAAGGAGGATCGGCAGAGGGGGCGGATAGGCAGAGGGGGGATGGGCCAAGCTAGGTGCGCTCGCGTCTTTTCTGACTCCCTACCCCTCCCTTTCATCCCTTACCACGGCGTAGATCTCCTCTATATTCGCACAGTCGGCTGTCGTAGCATGGCATAGTATCAAATAGCAAAGCGTGGTGTTGATGGGAGGGGCGGCCCAAAAAATCAACGAATCGACACCGAATGTGTAATCACTTCAAATGTTTTTGTTCGGGGGCATTTTTTTCTTGATTTTGGGGCTTATTTGGAAGGACCGGAAAGCATGCCGTGGCATGGCGCTGGAAAGAATGACGTCAGTGCTGAATCGGGATCACGATTCGGAACGAGCGGAAGCGCGGAAATGAGGCCAGCGCTGCAGCGGGAGCACGATTCCGAACGAGCGTAAGCGCGGAAATGATGCCAGCGCTGCAGCGGGAGCACGATTCGGAGCGAGGGGAAGCCCGGAAATGAGGCCAGCGCTGCAGCGGGAGCAGCATTCTTTTGAACAGAACCGAATCGAAAACCCAACTCCTAGGAATCCTGTGTAACAAACAGTACGCGGATGGGGGCCCGACATCTGCTGGACGTCATCAGGGGAGAGAGGAGAGTAGTATTCATATAGTGTAATTGTAGAGGGGGGATAGGCAGAGGGGGGTAGGCAGAGGGGGTATAGGCAGAGGGGATAGGCAGAGGCGGGGGGGGATAGGCAGAAGGAGGATGGGCAGAGGGGGGGGAATAGGCAGAGGGGGGATGGGCAGAGGAGAGTCGTATTATGCAATTGTAGAGGGGGTGGCTGCGACATCTGCTGCGCGCAGCCGGTTGCGGCCCCGCCGCCAGGCGCCTTCCTCGATGCAGTGGCGCCTCCCAGCGCCGGGAGGCGCCAGGGAGATCGGCCACGTGGGCCGATTCGGTACCCTTCCTTTGCTAAAGAGCCGATGTCGTCCGACCCAGCCCTGGCAGCCGAGATCGCTCAGGCTCGTACGGTCGACGCGGTGTCAGAGACCAGAGCCGACGTCATCACGGCTCGAGCTTGTTCCAATTCTTGACGCTTCGCGTATCCCCACCAGTTAGCTAATTAGGCTTGCCCGTCGGCCCGGACACCCTGTTCGCCGCCTGCGCTCTTCGCTCGCGGCCGCGACCAAAAAAGTATCCCCACCAGCTTTGAGTCCTTCCTGGCCTAGCTGGTGTCAGCGGTCCTTCGTGATGATGCTCCTGGCTTCATCCTGGTATCGCTCCCGCGCCTCTTTGGCTGCGCCCCAACCTCGGTTGGCTAATTTTGCATGCGCTCGCTCCTGGACCTGTTTCCTGGCAGCTGCAGCCCGCACCACCTCTCGCTTCCGGTCCGCTGAAGTGCCGCTTAGGCCTCCGGTTTGCTGGCGCGTTAGGCAATTAGGTTCGCGCGTGGCCCGCCTGTCCCGTTTGACGCCGCCTGCTCTGTCGCTTGCGGCTGCGACAAAAAATACCCCCACCAGCTCCAGGGCCCCTTCATCTTCAGCGGCTGGACGGGCGGTCCAGGCCAACCGGCGTTTCGAACACATCGAGAGGCGGTTGGCTTCTCGCCGCCGAGGGCTTGTCTGGGGGCTGGACTTTCGGGCTTCGCGGGGCCACCAAGGGAGGATCCCTGGATGACAGATCAGCGCCAGGGAAGGTGTCGAGAGCCAGGGTTTACGTGACGGGGGTCAGCGTTGACGGGTGTCAGCCAATCCCCTCTGGCTGACCTGGGTTTGGGAGCCACGTGGGGCCGCTTCCCCTTTTCGCCCTCCGGTGGCTCGGGCTTGGGAGCTTCTGAGCGCCCGACCAGGCTTCGCGACAAGGCCCTTGCCGACCCGGGTCTGTGCTGACCTGGGTTAGTGCGCCTCCGAGACAGTTCCATGAACGTTATGCAGCAAACTGGTCCTGGGGGAATTGGGTCCTGAAGTTTTTTGGCCGTTTTCGGGTTCCTGGGGCCGCAGAAGAATATTCGGGATGAGGAGGTGGTCCTCGGGAAGGCCCCCGGTGTCCAAGACCCGTTTCATTCAGGACCCGTCTTCTTTTTTTCGTGGCTGGACCCATCGTTTTTTTGTTTTGCTTTTCTTCTTTCTCCTCCTCTTCCTCCTCCTGCTCCGCCTTCTCCCTGTCTTCTTCTTCTTCTTCTTCTTCTTCCTCCTCCTCCTCCTCCTCCTCCTCCTCCTCCTACCCCTCCTCCTCCTCCTCCTACCCCTCCTCCTCCTCCTCCTCCTCCTCCTCCTCCTCCTCCTCCTCCTCCTCCTCCTCCTCCCCCTCCCTTCCTTTCTCCTCCCCCTTCCCCTGCTCGCTCCTTGTTTTTCCCAATCATGTTGTGGTGTTGGGTCCTCGTTTTGAAGAGACAGCGCCCCGTGTTCCTTCTTCTCCTCCTCCTCCTTCTCCTGCCCCGATCCTTTCCCTTATAAGCAATTTTTCCTTGTCGCACCCCGAGGCCAGTTTTTAGGGCGGGCCGTGCGTTTCGCCTGATATTTTTCACCATTCATGATTCTCTAGCTTTAAATTTGACAGCAGCTACACAGATGGAGGGCGGGTCGTTTTCAAAATGTGGCTCCCGCTTTAGCGCCGCGCGCATTCGTTTTTAAACATGTGCAATCGTTTCACGGATTGAGGGCGGGTGGTTTTCAAACTGTGGCTCTCGCCCCAGCGCCGCGCACGTTCGTTCAACAAAAAATTGCAAGAGCTTCACGAATTGAGGGCGGGTGGTTTTCAAATTATGGCTCTCGCTTTAGCGCCGCGCACACCCGTTAAACACATTCAAATCAGTTCACGGGTTGATGGCGGGTGGTTTTCAATATGTGGCTCTCGTTTTCGCGCCGCGCACATTCGTTCGAAAAAATTGCAAGAGCTTCACGGATTGAGGGCGGATCGTTTTCAAAGTATACTTTTCGATTAAGTGCCGCTCATATTCGTTGTACACATTTGCAAAAAAACTTCACGGGTTTAGGGTGAGTGGTTTTCAAAATGTGGCTCTCGCCTTAGCGCCGCGTGATTTTTCGCTTTATACATATGCAAGAGTTTCACGGGTTCCCATGACCAGCGTACCAGAAATGGTGTTATGGACAGGTTCAGGACTATGCGGGTGCAACAGTTATGTTGGTTCGCGGTGTTGAAGTACCCAAGCTGACGTTCTGGCGCGGTTCCATATCGTCAGGACGCATCAGTCAGGTTGACCCGTGGCGTGGAAATCCCGAGAACAATGTTTTGGCATGCTTCAAGGTCCTCAAACAGTTGTCGTCCAACGAGGCAGTTCTCTCAATGGAAATGAACCGTCGTAGGGGCCTATGAAGAGGGAACTTGGAGGGAGGGTTAATTCCAATATCGTCGATAACTCGTGGGTTTGCACTGGTCCTCCTCCTCCTCCTCCTCCTCGTCCTCCTCCCCCTCCTCCTCCCCCTCCCCCCTCCCCCTCCCTTCTCCCATCCCCAACTCTGCCTTTCGCATGCCCGCCACTTCAGTGCACCCAGTATAGCGTTACCACCACATCTGCCACTTCAGTGCACTTCGCCGCCTGGCTGCGACCACATGCGTCACCACCACCAATATCGGCACACCCCTGACATGTTTGGTGGCTCAATAGGAAACCCCACCGAAGGCCCCAGTGGCTGTGATCACCTGAGTCGCGGCCACCCATGTCGGCACACCACTCACACGTATCGTGGCCCCATAGGGAGCGCCAACGAAGGCCCTAGTGACTGTGATCACATGCGTCCCCGCCACCCATTTTGGCACTCCCATCACATGCTACATTCCCAATAGGGGGCGCCACCGAAGGCCGCAGTGGCTGTGACCATGTGCGTCACCGCCATCAAATCCGGCGCACCTCTCACACGTTTCGTTGCTCCATAGGGAACGCCACCGAAGGCCGCAGTGGCTCAGACCAAATACGTGCCTCCCCGCCACACATGTCGGCACACCTCTCACAGGTGTCGTGGCCCCATGGGGAGCGCCATCGAATGTCCCAGTGGCTGTGATCACATGCGTCCCCGCCACACATGTCGGCACACCCATCACATGTTTCGTGGGCCCGTAGGGAGCTCCACCGAAGGCCCCAGTGGCTGTGACCACATACGTCCCCGCCACACATTTCGGCACACCCATCACATGTTTCGTGGCCCCATAGGGAGCTCCACCGAAGGCCCCAGTGGCTGGGACCACATGCATCCCCGCCACCCATTTCGGGCACACCGTCGCACGTGCCGTGGCCCCATACTGAGCGCCACCGAAGGCCCCACTGGCTGTGACCACATGCATCCCCGCTGCCCATGTCAACACACCCCTCACACGCTTCGTGGCCCCAGCGCCACCGAAGGCCCCAATGGCTGCGACCACATGCGTTACCTTCACCCATGTCGAAACACCCCTCGCACGTTTCGTGGCCCCATAGGGAGCTCCACTGAAGGCGCCAGTGCCTGCGACCACATGCGTCTCCGTCACCCATGTCGGCACACCCCTCACACGTTTCGTGGCCCCATGGGGAACCCCACCGAAGAGGATACGCAGCACTGCGGTACTCACAGCTGCATCTGGTTGGGTCTTTCGCCAGGATCATTTTTCTTTTTCGGATTTCTCCTCCTTCTTGATTGCTCCATGATGGCTCCGCTGCAGGAGATCCCACCAGGCAAGCACGTGACATGACTGCACACACAAACGAGAAACAGTGCTGGGCAAACAGTTCGGGCGGGAGGTCAGCTGGACGGGGGCACGCCATCAGGAAAGGCATGCCAAACAGCGACGCTCACGGTCGATAGCCGATCGGCCGTGCAGACAGCACGGCCAGCTTTCCAGCTCTCTCGCGATGCCAGGCGCTGAGCGGCCAGGTCCCCTGCCCTGGCCGTCGTTCCAACATGTGCAGGAACCAGACAGCAGGGCGGTCGAGGACAAGGCCACCTTCCCAGCCACACAGTGAGGATCGCTCCCTGCCTGGGCCGACGCTCCACGCTGTGCAGCATGAGAGATGGCTCTCAGGAGGGCATTGGTCAGGCTCTGTGGCCAGGGGCTGGTCGGGATCGCCAGCCTTGGCCAAACGCAGCTTCCAAACTCGCTTTTGGAGCCTGGGTCCCCCCCCTGCTTGCCTGGAGATCCTCTCGGGCATATCCTGGAGGTCCTCTCGGGCAGATCCTGGACAGAAGCTCTGAACGCACACTCCCGACCCCACGGTCGCCACACCACTCGACTTTGCCCGCCAGACCGCCAGCCGGGGCCAGCTCCTCAGAGCACATGTAAGGGCCCCCAAGTGCAAGCATTGTGCGGGGAATACCCTTTTGGAGCTCCGCACGGATTTCTTGCATCGGCGGTGGACCCCCCTGGCGGCGCCTTCCAGCGCCGACCGCGCGGATCTTCGACAGTTTATGCCTGCGTGCAGTTGAAGGCGCTGAAATAAGGACTGTTGGTGCCCAGGAGAGGCTCTCATTTTTGGGCCGTTCCTTAGATCTGCGTCGGGGAACCTGTTCGTGGCCGAGGCTCGTAGTGGCCAGACTTGCCGCGTCCGTTCCTTATTCAGTGTGCCTCATGGTAGCATGAAGGCTGTTTGTTTTAATTCGGGCATGTCCCTCCACAGGAAGAATCTTCAGGCTGAATGTTCCCCAATCAGAGCTTGCCTCTGTAGGGGTCCCAGCGGATTCATATGGTTAGGTTAGGTTTGCCGCCGATTTTCGCCGCACGCCCGGGTGCCCTGGGGCCCGGGCGTGCCCGGGGGTGCCCTATAGCCCTATAGCCCTATAGCCCAGTAGCCCAACAGCCCTATAGCCCTACAGCCCTACAACTCTATAGCCCTATAGATCTATCGCCCTATAGCTCAATAGCCCTATAGCCCTATAGCTTCTAGCCCTATAGCCCTGATTGGGTTTTCTCTGGTATCATTTTAATTTGGGCATGTCCCTTTACAGGAGGAATCTTCAAACATAGTCCAACAACATAGCCTGGGGACGATTTGTCGTACCATTTTGGTTTCGGTTGGAGTATCTGTTTTGCCTTCCTTCTTCTTCTACCAAACTCGGCCCGTAGGGGGGACATGCCCGACCTGATGTGTGTTTCCTTCCTCCACTTTCCTCGCCGCCAGGTGGCCGAGCTCTCCGCCGAGCTGGAGGCGAAACATTCTCGACTCTCCATCGCGACCTTCGGGGACGTCTCCTTCTCGGAGGTGCCCCTGGCGGTCTGAGGGGCGCAGCGTGCAGGCCGCTCTCGTGGGCCCGTTGGACAGTCTGGGGATGTGT